GTGCACCATGGGCCAGGGACACAAGGCAGACCAATGCAGCACAGAAGTATAAATCAAGAGGCTGTGTCCATTCATTCATTCATTCCTGCGGATGCCATGCGGAAGCGCTGCCTAGCAGCTTGTGCGAGGAGGTCTGCAGAGTGCCCGAAGACGAAGTGGGCAGAGGAGTAGAGTGCAGTGATAGGTAGTGGCAGCTAGCGCTGCCATTGCTGTAGCCTAGCATGTGTGTGTGTGAAGTGTGATACTGAGTGTTGCGTGTGGGACATCCAGGGTGATCCAGAGTGTGAACAGTGAGTTGTGTGGGCGCTCAGTCGCCATAGCCAGAGTGGGCGCCTGTCGCCAATTTGCTGCTTCGCTGTTTGCATACATGACAAGTTGAATAATCGTAGTGTGATTTCACCTAAAATAAAAAAATAAAAAAGGATTGACTGCATGTGTGTGTGTGTGTGTGTGCATGTCTGTGTGTGTATGTGTGTGCGTGTATATATGTCTGGGTGCGGGTACTTCGTGATTTTGTTTTTTTACTTTTTTGTGAATGTCACGCGCCCTAGGGTGGCGCACAACGCGCGCATGCTGCAGGGGGTGCACGTTCAATTTTTTCCTGCCCCCTGCCACGTGGCGCGTTTGAACGCGTTTGAACTCGGCCCACGACCATTTAAACGCGGGCGTTCGAACGCGAACGCGCGTTCAACGCGTTCAGACAGTCACATAGCCCTATAGCTACTGGTACGCCGAACCTTGCAGAACCTGTGGCTACCGCAGTAGTATAACATGAACAGAAGAAAGAGAAAAAATAAAAAAGTAAACGAGATTCTTCTTTGGGAAAAAAAAAAAAAGCGAACAACTCCGTTTCTCTTTTTTTCCGTGCGCAGGGAACATGGATTCTAGAAGCCCTATGAGCACATTATTATTTTTCTTGATTTGTCGTGATCGTTTGTCTTCCAGAACCTCCGATGTTTTCTTGATTCGCGAATTTAGTTATTAACAAGAGGATGAGGATGCCTGCCGCAGATGCGGCGGGGACCACAATGGGGAAAAGAAAAATATACACATGCGGCACGAACGACGATGGGGAAACGGAGAACATATCGCAGGCAGTAGCACACACGGCAGTCCACAGCGTGCTGGCGATGGTACTTGGGATGGGTCGCTCGGAGGTCCCAACAAATCAGAAACAATGGCAGTCTTGCAAAAAAAAAAAGGTCCGGCCCATACGGCCAAATGGTGCACCCATACAAATGAGCACAAGACAAAAACTATGCTGGCGTTTTGTGTAGAGCAAGACTCGTTTATGGGCCTCACTCCACTCCTACCACCGTTGCAAAATGAGAATGAATCTTCCGCTGGAACATGGAAAGATACTCGCCATGCTTTTTGTCATTTGTGCATGTGTCGGTAGTTTAGGGAGGCCCTATGAATCTAGGCAGACACATGCAAGTTAGGGCCTGGCTCCAGTACTGACCGCATGCACAAATGACAAAAGGTCTTGTTGTGTACAAAACGACAAAAATGATGGGCCTCTCTCTACTACTCATGCGGAAAATGAGAAACATGAAATGATACACCGCCATATTTTGCTAGGCTGTCTTCCTGGGTGCCCGGGCACCCAACTTGTGCCTGGATATGGGCCAGGGTGCCCAGCCGGGCATGACCCCCGTGGGCAGGCCCTGTGCACAAAAGAAAAAAAGAAAAAAAAAAAAAGAAAAAAAAAGAAAAAAAAAGAAAAAAAAAGAAAAAAAAAGAAAAAAAAAGAAAAAAAAAGAAAGAAAAGAAAAGAAAAGAAAAGAAAAGAAAAGAAAAGAAACCAAAAAAATGGGGAAAAAAAAAATACGTGTAGAATTGCAATACAACTAAGGGCACCCCTTAACCCCTTTAGCCCCTTCAAAACCAATTTATGTCCGACTCGCCCCCCCTTGACAGCCAGCACTCGAAAAGGAAAGAGTTTGGATTTGTGCTCCTCTTGGAGAGCGCAAAAAAAAACACCGCCAAAACATACATATATAACAGTGGTTGCCCAACTCAGGGTATCAGTTGTCGGACAGTCGTTGACGCTGAACCACAGCCGGGGTTAAGGTGGATTATCACTTACAGTGTAATCAGTTAGGGGATTCTGCAGACTGTTGAGGGTTCAGCCTCCTGATGAGTCGGTGAAACTCCGACGAAACAGTTTGTCACAGCCCCTCGTTTGTTGTCCTCTTCTCCCTTTTGTCCCTCTCTGCCTACGGTTTACTGGGCAGATCTGTTTGACAATATATATCGTCAAACAGAGCTGCCCGGTAAACCGTAGGCAGAGAGGGACAAAAGGGAAAGGAGGACATCAAACGAGGGGCTGTGACAAACTGTTTCGTCGGAGGTTCATATGAAGATATATACTTACAATGTATGTCCTCTCTGTTGTCAAGGACAGACTCGTTCTTGAGCCTTTTCTTATCCTCTTTTGCCTTCATCTTCACTCCACACTCTGTCCTCTCTGTTGTCAAGGACAGACTCGTTCTTGAGCCTTTTCTTATCCTCTTTTGCCTTCATCTTCACTCCACACTCCATGCTTTCCCTAACTTTCCCTTTATCGTTCTTTGTTTGTCTGCTCTCCATCTTTCCTCCCTGTGTTTATCCCCTCCCCCTTCACTCTGCCTCTTTCTCACAGTGCACAAGTGGGCTGTTATGGCACACGGGGATGGGGGCAGCTCGCGCTCAACTTCACCAACGTGGCGAGCCTTGTGCGTGAGAGGCACGGTGAAGGGGGAGTTCAAAGAAGAATGAGAAAAATGAATGGTTTCAGCGTGCCCTTCATGTTTGTCCTGTTTTTCTTAATTTTTAATTTTTGCCATTTGTTTTGCAAAAATTGCACTCTTTTAATTCATAGTTATGTGACAATATATTCCCCCCCCCGGCCCAGGTATCCCGAACGTCACACCCAGGTGACCGACCGGTCATGAAAATCTTCCCAGATATTTTGTCTTTTATCCATGTAGTGAGTAGTGGACCGAGGCCCTATCAGCGAAACGACCAACGGAGAAACAGTATGGAAAGGTACACTGCCAGTAGCAAGTCCTGAGTAGGACCGAGGCCCTATCAGCGAAACGACCAATGGCAGTTTTTGCCGCGTGGGACAGCGCCCTCATCCCTGGGGCCGTCAAGCTGGGTACAGCGCCCTGACATCTTTTACCGTGTGGGACAGTGCCCTCGCCCCCAGGGGCGTCAAGCGGGGACCGCTATTTCTTGAGCTTTGTTGTAATGCCAGACAGCTTACAGACTATGTTTGTGCTTTGAATTCTTCAGTCTTTGATTGCTGTGTTTGAGAGTGGACTTCTTGGGTTGTTTATTGCTGTTCTCTTCAGTAGCTTATGCAGCGTAATATCTCTGCTGGCTACTTTCTTTTTCTTTGTGTTGGTATAGGTGGAGATCATGATGAGCCTGGAGGATGAGTACCATATTGAGCTGGATGAGCAAAATGCTGCGAAGCTGTCGACAGTCATGGATGTTGCAAAATATATTGCGGAGGAGATGAAAAAGCCGAAGTCGAAATAGAGAGCGAAGACGACAAATGCTGCCGTATGTCAAACAAACATGTGAGATGGCAGCTCGATTCTGAGTGACTTGGGAGACCTAGAGTGACCTGTACACCTTTTTTGTATGGATGTATTCCAGATTCTCCCAATTCCGTCTTTTGTGTAACTCAGTTCTGCCGTATTTCTGCTGGATAAATAAATGGTGGTTGTGTTTGCTTGACGTGTCGTCTGGACACCCATGTCCCTTACAGTCAACAAGTCATATGTTGTGGGGAGTTCAGTCTTGCGGCTTGTTGTCAAGACGCCCTTGGTTTGTTGGGATAACACGCCACCTTTTTTTTTTCTTTTTTTCTTTTTTTTAACAGGGCCTTATGGTCCTGGTGGGATAACACACCACCTTCTTTTGTTGTTTAGGAGGTGTCTCCTCGAGGGCAGAGTTGTGAACGTTGGCTTGGTCGAATGTCCGAACAATGCGATTGTACAGAAACGGGTAGGCATACCGGTCAAGTTGTACTCCTGGGCCTGATCCGCACCCCTCGTACAAATATGAGAGAGGTTCAGGTTGGGGTCGGGGGTCGGTGGGGCTTTAGGGGGGGGGGGGGGGGGGNGCTTTCGAATGATGTGCCTGTTGCTTGGAACTGGGCTTTGCAAGTGGAAACAGGAAAGAGGGCTTCGAAGAATGTCATGGGAGAGAGGCTTTAGGTGGTTGACTACAACCCCTCTGCATCTCTGGGAAATTTTATGCTTGTAATTTTGGAAGCGGCTCCTTTGAATCTTCGGCTGCATTGTGACTCAGATTTGCGGAGCTGTTTATTTAGAACCGACGCACATTTGTGGAGCTGTTTATGTAGAGCTGACACACACACAGATGTAGACGGACACACTCACACACACACACACACACACACACACACACACACAGAAAGAGAGAGAGAGGGAGGGAGAGAGAGAGAGAGAGAGAGAGAGAGAGAGAGAGAGGAGGTGTAGGCTCAGTTTGGCTGTTCATTATCTTTTGGGCAGAGGGAATTGAGAACTGTTTGTCCATAATTTGGTGGCTGATATTTTTCTAGCATGCAAAACACAGGAAGGTTGTACTTCAAAAAAAAACTACATCCTCCGCATGGAAGTCAAAATTGGCCTACTTGAGACCTCTATTGTCTTTGTTTTTTATGGTCTTTGAAAATCTATCATATTCTGTTGGAGAATAAGAATAATAAATATCCTGTCTTTTTATAGCATGCAATGGTGTTATCACTGCTGTGTGCCCGGTCGCGCCACATGGGTACTGCTTTGAACCTGTTGGACACGGATAAGGTTTTTCAGACGTAGCACTGGGAGTCACGCCCAACATGGGGAAAGCTTTGTTTCACTCCAGAAGTGTATGATGTGTTTTTTGTTTAATGTTTTCAGCCTTTTTAGGTGTTGGATGTGTTTTGGGAAGTCAGCGGGTGCTGTCATAGGAGCAAAAGGTGTAGAAAAACAAGAGGGTGGAAGAGTCTTACAGAAAAAGGGTCCGGCAAAAACAGAAGGGTGGGAAGAGAGCAGTTTGACAGAGAGTGCAAGTGAACGCGCCTAGCTCGGATGGTTAGGCGTTAAGTGGTCCATGCCGGTCTGCAGTGCACTCAGTGCCGACGTGCTGTGACAATCCGCTTGATACCTCTGATGGGTATTAAAAGGGTCTTTGGCCAAGCAGGGTTGTGAGTACGAGCGTGAGTAGGTCGTGTGTGGTGGGTGGGAGAGTGTTGGCGTCAGACACTGCCGCTACTTGATGCAGGGCGGGGGACGATGGAAAGGGAGGAAGGTACCTTAACCAAAATGCTCGCTCTGTGCGTTAGGTTGACCCCAACTGGCGAGCCCCACCCTGCACCCTTAACCACTACTGTGTTCACCTGAATTTAACACCCGGTCATTATGGCTGCATCTAAACCGAAAAGTGCCCTGAATACAGCTATAATGACCGGCCGGTAGACGGTAGGGCAAGGGGCAACATCCAGTATCCCCTGCACTGAGAGAAAGCTACGATCGTGGGGTCCCCCTCCTTAAAGAGCAGGTAGTCGAAAACACAGTTCAGGAAAAGAAAAATACGAAAAACGTGCTCGTGGTCGCTGATACCTTTCGTGCAAACAGAAATGGAAGGTGAGCAAGCTGAGAGTGCTAGAACCGGCGCTTGTGATGCCTGGATGCTGCTGAGGCGGCGGATCTGACAGCCTGAATTTGTACGGATGGCAGTGAAGTCAGGGCGGTCTTTGCTGAAAATGCTTGGCAAGGTTTAGTACGTGCTAAAAGAGGGCAGCGGGTAAACCGGTTAAAAGGTATGGTCTGTGTGCTGAGAGTGGAAGAGACTGTGCTCCTGGTGTAGTGGAAGAGCTGAAAGAGGGCAGCCGGTCAGTTGATCGGTCGGTCAGAAGGTATGCTCAGTGTACCAGGTGACGGAACTGGTGGGCTGACTTTATCAGTGTGCCTGCGAAGTTGGGACTGGGTGGTGGAAAGGGGCAGACAAGGGGATGGTTTAGTGGAACGGAATCGGTTTGGATGGTTTAGTGGAACGGAATCGGTTTGGTTGGTTTAGTGGAACGGAATCGGTTTGGTTTGGCTTGAACGCAGTGACAAGGCGGCAGAGAATGGCGGACACGGTTACAGCAAGAGTCTAGGGTTTAAGACAGGAAAAGGCGCTTGACTCCGGGGACGGTGGTGGAGAGGGCAGACAATGGGAGGTTCTAGTGGACCAGAGTTGGTCTGGTTGCGCTAGAGTCCGGGGATGGGTTCGGGGAGGGTGGCAGACAGCAAGGGTCTAGGGTTGAAGCTCCAAAGGAATAGGACAGGAATCAGAACATATAGCACCAGGATAGCAGCTGTAGATCAGGTGCGCCCTGACAGGGTCAGGAGGTGCTGACGACATGTGCAAATTCAAAGCTCGTACCCAAGTGTTCAAGTGCCCAAATGATCAAATGCTGGACCCGGTTTCCAGCAGGTGATGCGCCCCACCAATGGATGGAGCAGCAGGCAACAGACTTACGAGGGGATGGTGCTTGTACCACCCCCACCCCTAGTAGGCCTTGGCTGGCTTCTCAAAAAAAAAAAAAAAAAAAAAAAAGGTGCCTGTGTGAAGTCGACGCAGCACTTGCCCAAAACCATGGGCGGCGATGTTGTATTCGAGTTGAAAGAGGGTGTTGTCACAAATGCAAGCACACAATGACCCTTACTTGGAGAGTTTGCATTTGCAGTTCGCTTCCTGCTGTGTTTGGTTTTTACCCCGCCCCCCCCAAAAAATAAATAAATAAATAAATAAATCCTACTCAGGCAAAAGCGGTACTCGTGTAATGCCTCCCTCAGGCCGACGAGGACCTTGAATAGGAGGAGGCAGTATCGTGGGGATGCATACGTCAGGGAAGTTCTCCATTTATTTATTTTTGGGGAAGATCCCCATTTAGTTTTTGGTCGTCATGCCGGTTGGCGGGACACTTGGGGAATGTTGTGGAATATTTTTTGTGCGTGCCGCAGTTCTGATTTTTTTTGCGGTTGTACGGTGCTATTTTGCACCGTGCCTGGGGAAGCCCCGAAGATTTTGTTTTGTTGACGTCTACTCGCACCTCTTCTGTTTCAGGGTTCTTCTCAGAAGACGTGGTCATTTTTTGCTCTGGGTGGCGTTTGGGGACTAACATTTGCATCCAAGTATGAAGTTGGCAACGTTTGCATCCAAGTATGAAGTTGGCAAGGGAGGGTCTTGGCTCAGCACTCACCAACACGGGTGCATAGCGGCCGGTGAGCGCCTGGGGGCTGCCCTGGCTGCACTACTCCGCAGTGCACAACGGGGAGCAGAAGGGGGAAGACAACTAGCAGGAGGACGGCGCGCCTTGACCCATGACTTACAGGATGCTGAAAAAAGAAAAAAATATAGCCATGTATCATTTTTCTTTGTTTTTGTACCCGTGTATCTTCCCATGTTCAAAGCGGAGGGTTCATTCTCATTTTGTGCATTTGGTGAGTAGTGGAGCCACGGAAAGTGGAGGAGGAGGTGGACAAGCAGGACAGTGGTTCTCTCTCCACTACTCACCACTTGCAGAAAATGCAGAAATTGTGGCTGTGTATCTTCCTGTGTGCGAGCGAAAGATTCTCTCCTTGTGCACATTTGGTCAGAACTGGAGTGAGGCCGTTCACTGGAGGAGCGCCACGAGGAGTGGGAGGAGGTGGGGTGGGATAACGAGTGGGAGGAGGGGAAGGATGGGGAGGACAACAAACAGGAAGTAGTGGCAGGAAAAAGAGTGCAAGGAGGAGAGGGAAGACGATGAGTGGGAGTGAAAGGAGGTGGAATTCTGCGAGTGGGAGCAAAAGGTTGAATCGGAAGTGGGGCAGGAAGAGGAGCCTGAGGAGGGGGAAGAAGACCAGCATGGGGGGTGGAGGGGGGGTAATGGGAGGGGCAGAATGACGAGTGGAAGGAGGGAGGTGAACCAGAGGAGGCAGAAGGGGAGGGCGGCGAGTGGCAGGAGGAGGTGCACGAATGGGAGGAGGAGGAGAGGCCTCAGGAGGAGGAGGCTGAAGTAGTAGGGAGGAGATTGGGGGGCCTTGGGAGGATGGGGTGGATGATTATTGGGAGGACGAGGAGAAGCAGGATGAGGATGGGCGGGAGGAGTATGGCAACAAATGAAAGAACGGGAAGAATGACGAGTGGGAGGAGGAAGGTGAACCAGAGGAGGCAGAGGGGGAGGGCCGCAAGTGGCAGGAGGATGTGCACGAATGGGAGGAGAAGAGGCCTCGGAAGGAAGAGGCCGTAGTAGTAGGGAGGAGATTGTGGGGCCTTGGGAGGAGGGGGTGGATGACCATTTCGCGGATGAGGAGAAGCAGGATGAGGACGGACGGGAGGAGAATCGCAACAAATGAAAGGAGCTTAGGGAGGAGTGGAATGAGGACAGGGACAATGAGCGCCAGGAGGAGCAGGAGGACATATGGTGATGAGGGGGAGAAGGATGGGGAGCACCAGGAGTGGGATGACTGGGCCAGGGGGAGGAGGGGGAGCCCGAGGAGTGGGATGACCGGGCTCTTTCCCCATCTCCACCTCCCGTCCAACCCCTCCCCCGCTCCTTGTCCTGCTTCTGTGCAATGACAAGTGGAGAAGCGAGAAGAGGCGGAGAGGGGCAAGCAAGAGGGGGAGCAGGATGTGATGGCAGAGTAGAAGCTGGAGGAGGGGAAGGAGGTAACGGAGGAGGAAGTGAGCAGACAGGAAGATGTGAGTGTGGAGCAGGGGGTGACAGGAGGAGGATGGGAGGACGGGCTGTTTGTGTGTCACCTTTTTTTCGGAGAGAGATGATTGTGCTCCCTCTCCTGTTCACGAAACCCAGCAGGAAATTGGGGGTGGAAGGAGGTGTGCCGTGGGTGTAGCCACGGCAGGTGATTTGTATTTAAGAGTTACAAGTTACACGCAGGCCGCGGCAGGCGGGGCGCTGGCATGTGAAACACACAGAGAGAGAGAGAGAGAGAGAGAGCTGTCTCTTATACACATCTAGATGTGTATAAGAGACAGCCCCCATCGTCGTCTACCCTTAGAGAAGGAATAAATACCGAGGAAACCGAAGGAACTTGCTCCATGCTGCTTTGTGATGACCCACCGGAGATTCAGCTAGCATGTGGTTTGCACGAAGTTGGTGAAGTATCCGGGAATCAATACGGTGAAAGATTGCAGAGCATTCCGAAAAGCACTGATGAGTCGGTGTACAGCGGAACCTTTGTGAGATTGTAATCATTGTATTAACGAGTTTGCAAAAGAAGTGTTTCCTGTGATTTCTTGGAC